TAATAATAATAATAATAGAAAATAAAAAATAATAATGATAAAATAACAAACAATAATGATAGTAATAATCCCTTACCATCAAAGAGTAACCATGATACTACTGGTGTTGGGTGTGCATCTTCATTCACTACACAATCAATCAGGACTCGAGTGCCAAAGGACATGCAGACATTGACTCCAACCTCCTCGTTGACAAATGATTGACCTCTTTGATCCAAACAAGAAGATGAATCCGGTATATCTTGTCTTGAAGACTGTCTGATAACAGTTGGAACTAGGAAAATAATAATAATAATAATAATAATAATAATAATAATAATAATAATAATAATAATAATAATAATAATAATAATAATAACAATAACAATAACAATAATGATAATAATAATAATAATAACAACAAAAACAGCAATAATAATAATGATACAATAAGTTAGGATAGAAAAGGAGAGAGAGAGAGAGATGAGGACAAAGTTTAGTGATGAAATATAACAATTGTTAGTAATAATAATAATAATAATAATAATAACAATATCAAGACTATTCACCTGATACTTGAATAGTAATATTCCCACTATCAGATCCAGCTTCATTAGCAACAAAACAAGAATAGACATCACTGTAAGCTCTTGAGACATCAGTGAAGCAGAGTCTGGTCCCATTGTCCTGAATAGTGATACACACATCACTAATATCAATTCCTTCATGTTCTGTTCCTTCTAGTGAGAGACGCCTCCATACTATCTCCTCTGCTGGAGGTGAGCCAAGGCTAGGCTCACATATGACGCAGAAATCAGTTCCAGCCTGGACTGTAACATTAGTCATTTGATTGACACTCACCACACTCCCATCATCTAGGATTTCGCCAACGTTAGTGCTGGAATCGGGAACATTAGGAGGACCTAGTAATAATAATAATAATAATAATAATAATAATATCGTATAGCACTTTAATTTAATGGAGTTTTATTGGTGGTTTGCAAGGTGAATCACCAATATTAAAACCACCAGTCATTAATGCGCATGCTCAGTAATGCACGTGTACACAAAAATCGCCAAATTAAAAACCACCAATTACAATTTTACAGCAAAATCACCAAAATAAAGTGCTATACGGTAATAATAATAATAATAATAATAATAATAATAATAATAATGATGATTCTTACTAATGAAGCTCAATCTAGATAAAGCAAAATTAGTTCCAAACTCATTAGAAACTGAACACTCGTAGGCCCCATCATGATTATCTGTTGGATTAGCAATCTCTATTCTAAAGACACGCCCCATGGCATCAGACCCAGTCAACTCTTGGGTATCTTTATACCAGGTATAGGAGGGGGCGGGGCTACCCTAATTAACAGTTATTAATAGTAATAAGTTATTAATCGTTGTAAATTAATGGTTATTAATAGTTAATTTATAACTATTAATTACTTCTAATCAAAAACTGTCAATTTATAACAGTTATAAGTAATTAATAGTTATAAATCACTGGTTATTTATTACTGATTATTAATAATTATTAATTAATTATTATTAATTAATAATTATTAATAGTTATTAATTAATTAACTTACAGTAGCATTACACTCTATGTTAATAGTAGTCCCAGTCACTACTCTTGCAGTTTGTCCAATGTGAAATGTAAACTCAGACGTTGGCCGAGACTCACCCTCTGGCAATGGGGCATTAGTGACTGGACCAGACACCTGTAGTATCATTGGAGGAGCTACACAAATAAATAAATAAATAAATAAATAAATAAATACATAAATAAATAAAGTAATAAATAAACAAACAGTTAAAGAAATACATAAAATTAATAAGCAAACAAATAAATAAATAAATAAATAAACTAATAAATAAATAAAGAAATAAATAAAGTAATAAATAAACAAATAGTTAAAGAAATACATAAAATTAATAAGCAAACAAATAAATAAACAATAAATAAACTAATAAATGGCTTACACATTACAACTATCCCAGTACAGGTCGTCTCATTCCCATTCTCATTAAAGGCAGTGCAGCAGTACTGAGTATTGTCATTGTTCTTAGCGTTCAAGATACTGAGTGTCCCGTTAGCATTAACACTGAAATCACTGATTATCCCATTGGATCCAATCATCACTGAATTGAAACTAGAGAGGAAGAGAGAAGGTTAGCTAATGTTGCTTAGATATAAATTTATGTGGCTTAAATTTTTTTGCAAATAGACTATAAAATTTATTTTACGGATGTTATTTTTGTAACTGCACCTTAGCTTAGTAAAGAAGTATTTTTTAAAAATTAAATTTGCGAAATAATTTGCAGAAATTTTGAGCTACACATATTATTATTATTATTATGCTCCATAAATAAGTGCATTATCTTACGATACGGTTGGACGAGGAGTTCCAAGTGCACTACATGAAAGTATTGAGTATCCATTAGCTGGTATCCTCCTATTACCGGTGATAGTAACGTTAGAGGGGCGAGCTGGAGCTAGACAATTAGATATTTATTATTAATACAGTATAGTCGGAAAAATAGAGTGTTTAAAATTGGTGAATTGGCTCCCTGGGGGGCTAAGATTTTGGTAAAATTTTGAGCATAATTATACAGAAGTGAAGACATAAAAAATTAGGAAAATGAACCCCAAATTACCACAATTAATTGACTCCACCAAATATTCAGATTACTATTATTATTATTATTATTATTATTATTATTATTATTATTATTAATACTCACTTTCAAAACAGACCATTGACATTCTTGTGAAAGTTTGAGAGGTACTAGTTACCCTAAGACGGCAGGCATACCTAATGCAGCTGCCACTAGGATTGCTGCTAAGAGAATGTGTCAAGAAATCAGTATCTGTAGCAGAGCCTCCATTAATGGTGAATGTTTTTGTACCATCACTCCCTTCAGCATTAGGACAGAACACTCTTACAGTGGATACTCTTGAAGCATCCACTCCAATGTAGTTGAGACCAATACCAACATCCAGTACAGAGGGATCAGGATTAGGAGGGACAGGACCGACGACAATACCTGGAATGGGCAGTAGATAATAACTGATCATGTAGACTGTGTATCAGGTAATGTAGTTAAAGTGGAGACTTTTCTCCTTTTCATTTTTGGCGAAATTCGGCCAGCAAGCTCCTGTGCTATAGTACAGGGACTTTGACCCGATTTTTGAACAACTTAAAAAATTTGTAAAAAAATGAAAGCTATAGAGTGAATACCCAATAGTATGACCATTCAACCTTTGAATGCGTACAGATATGAACATGTACAGTCACATGAAGGTACATGTACTGTTTACTGGTTAGAATATAATATTATTAAATGTGTACATTATTTATTTATTTGTTATAACAAGAAAATATTATGCAGGGCTGTCACCTGAGTGAAGCCCTTCCAAAAATTTTTTATCAGCCGAGAGCTCTAAGGGAAAATTCCTACAGAACTGACATATCTATTCAATCCTTTAAATAGCAGTCAAACTATGTG